GGTTTATTCCTCTGTTTTCTTTAAAGTTGAAGTGGGCCTTTTATAGGCATCATATCATTGAGTCCTCTCTGATCTTTACTAGTTGTCTTCAGGTGGGAGATAATACTTGTCATTTGTCCAATTTATATCTAGGTCTTTCTCCTTCCTTGTTTGGATACACCTACTCCATGCTTCTTGCTCCCTCTTGTGACAGAATTCTTAAGCTTTTATATTTTCTCTAGATCTTACTACTTACCAGACCAGCTGCTGAAAACCTATCTTTTGTTTTCCTAAAGGCAGCACTTCAGTTCACTTGTGGTTTCTCCTTTGACCACAGATCCTGGCCTTTTTCCTGTGTGTACTCCCTTTCTACCAAAACTCATTCTCCCTGCAGCCCACAGAAGCACACACTAGGAGCCGGTCTCAGAGTGGGAGGTGGTTTGGATTGGCAGTTAGAACATTGCTGTTGCCATGAGGGCCTGCTAAGGGTCATCCTTGTGTGAGGATTTTCCAGTGACTCCTGGATGGGTTTCCTGCTAGAGGTCAGAACACAAGAGGGACCACATCCATCTGACAAATGATAGTATTCTTATCTGCCTCTCTCAGGAACCTCTTCCTCCTCCTAGTCCTGGGGGTTCCACCTCCATACTTGGTTCTGTGGGAGAGAGATGAGTTTTTATAGCAGTGTCCTGCAAACTAGGGAAGTCAGGAGCTCAAACACGCTCTCCCATTTCCCAGGGGAAAAGTCACCATTGACTAGTTCAGCTGCACACTGCGCCTCTTGGGGGACAGGTGATGATGGCAAAGTTCTTCTTACCCTCTCCAGTGTGTCCAAACTTGTATATATCTTTTTTTATTCGGTGAAGTGCTGGAAGCTGTCCTTAGTAACTTGGACTTCTAGAAAGTTTCCTTTATCTGCGGGTATCTGACCAAGTTAGCACTCTCGTTTTCCATGACTGTGGCCAGGAAGGATTGAGCAGGTTCACAGGTGCCTGCTGATTTTGCTGCTTATCTGAGTCCTGTCTGCCTGGTGCACGGGTGGGTGATACTCTTCCCAGGCCCTTCCTCCTCCCAGATCCCTTGGCAGATGGTGTTGGATTCAGTATCTTCCATTGAGATACCTTTGATCATAGATGGATGCTGCATTTTCATTCTTAAATGGTGGGGCAGATAGTAGGGACTCTCATAGAGCCTTGATGCTGACATCACTCACTGTAGGACACTTTACTTAACTATTTATCCTTTGAGAGAGATCTAGGTTGTTTCCAGTTTTTGACTTATGAATAAAGCTTTTATAAACATTTATGTTCAAGTTTTTATGTTGGTACATATTTTTATTTCTCTAGGAATAATGTCTGAGTGCAGTTATTGGATTGCATGGTAGTTGCATGCTGAGTTATTTAAAAAACTAAACTGTTTTCTAGAAGCTGCTTGCTTCATATTCCTATCAGCAATGTTTGAGTTGCTGTCCATTCTTACCAACATTTGGTGTTGTCGCTAGTTTTTTTAAAAGCTACACAGATAGATGTGATATCCGTTGTGGTTTTAATTTGCATTTTCCGAAAGTCTAACTAAGTTGAACATGTTTTCATGTACTCATTTGCCATCTGTATATCATCTGTGGGGAAATGTCCCTTTTTATCCTTTGCTCATTTTCTAATTGGATCATTTTTACCTCGAGTTTTGACAACACTTTACACAATCTAACAAAGGATAGATACTATCTATTATATGTGTAGCTTGCATGTATTTTCTACTAGTGTAGCTTGTATATATTTTCATTCTCTTAACTGTACTTTCACAGACTAAATGCTTTTAAGTTGGAAGTACAGCTTGTCAGTGCTCATATAAATTATAAAATTTTGGGCTCCAGAATCACTGCAGATGTAACTGCAACCATGAAATTAAAAGACGGTTCCCTCGGAAGAAAAGCTATGACCAACCTACACAACATATTAAAAGGCAGAGACATTGCTTTACCAACAAAAGTCTGTCTAGTGAAAGCTATGGTTTTTCCAATAGTCATATGGATGTGAGAGTTTAAACATTAAGAAAGCTGAGTGCCAAAGAATTGATGCTTTTGAACTGTGGTGTTCGAGAAGACTCTTGAGAGTCCCTTGGACTTCAAGGAGATCCAACCAGTCCATCCAAAAGGAAGTCAGTCCTGAATATTCATTGGAAGGACTGATGCTGAAACTGAAGGAAACTCCAATACTTTGGAGACCTGATGTGAAGAACTGCCTCATTGGAAAAGACCCTGATGTTGGGTAAGATTGAAGGCAGGAGGAGAAGGGGAAGACAGAAGATAAGATGGTTGGATGGCATCACCAACTCAGTGACCATGAGTTTGAGAAAGCTCCAGGACAGGGAAGCCTTGGCATGCTGCAGTCCATGGGGTCACAAGGAGTCAGACACGCCTGAGCAACTGAACTGAGCTGAACAGTAGGACAGTACTTTTATAAATTATACTTCTGGTGTCAAGTTTAATGTGAGGATTAACAGGATCTATGCCATTCTCTCAGAACATCCCACCCTCGCCCTCTCCCACAGAGTCCAAAAGTCTGTTCTGTATATCTGTGTCTCTTTTTCTGTTTTGCATATAGGGTTATCATTACCTTTTTTTATTCGGTGAAGTGCTGGAAGCTGTCCTTAGTAACTTGGACTTCTACAAAGTTGCCTTTATCTGTGGGTATCTGACCAAGTTAGCACTCTCGTTTTCCATGACTGTGGCCAGGAAGGATTGAGCAGGTTCACAGGTGCCTGCTGATTTTGCTGCTTATCTGAGTCCTGTCTGCCTGGTGCACGGGTGGGTGATACTCTTCCCAGGCCCTTCCTCCTCCCAGATCCCTTGGCAGATGGTGTTGGATTCAGTATCTTCCATTGAGATACCTTTGATCATAGATGGATGCTGCATTTTCATTCTTAAATGGTGGGGCAGATAGTAGGGACTCTCATAGAGCCTTGATGCTGACATCACTCACTGTAGGACACTTTACTTAACTATTTATCCTTTGAGAGAGATCTAGGTTGTTTCCAGTTTTTGACTTATGAATAAAGCTTTTATAAACATTTATGTTCAAGTTTTTATGTTGATACATATTTTTATTTCTCTAGGAATAATGTGTAAGAGTGCAATTATTGGATTGCATGGTAGTTGCATGCTGAGTTATTTAAAAAACTAAACTGTTTTCTAGAAGCTGCTTGTTTCATATTCCTATCAGCAATGTTTGAGTTGCTGTCCATTCTTACCAACATTTGGTGTTGTCGCTAGTTTTTTTAAAAGCTACACAGATAGATGTGATATCCGTTGTGGTTTTAATTTGCATTTTCCGAAAGTCTAACTAAGTTGAACATGTTTTCATGTACTCATTTGCCATCTGTATATCATCTGTGGGGAAATGTCCCTTTTTATCCTTTGCTCATTTTCTAATTGGATCATTTTTACCTCGAGTTTTGACAACACTTTACACAATCTAACAAAGGATAGATACTATCTATTATATGTGTAGCTTGCATGTATTTTCTACTAGTGTAGCTTGTATATATTTTCATTCTCTTAACTGTACTTTCACAGACTAAATGCTTTTAAGTTGGAAGTACAGCTTGTCAGTGCTCATATAAATTATAAAATTTTGGGCTCCAGAATCACTGCAGATGTAACTGCAACCATGAAATTAAAAGACGGTTCCCTCGGAAGAAAAGCTATGACCAACCTACACAACATATTAAAAGGCAGAGACATTGCTTTACCAACAAAAGTCTGTCTAGTGAAAGCTATGGTTTTTCCAATAGTCATATGGATGTGAGAGTTTAAACATTAAGAAAGCTGAGTGCCAAAGAATTGATGCTTTTGAACTGTGGTGTTCGAGAAGACTCTTGAGAGTCCCTTGGACTTCAAGGAGATCCAACCAGTCCATCCAAAAGGAAGTCAGTCCTGAATATTCATTGGAAGGACTGATGCTGAAACTGAAGGAAACTCCAATACTTTGGAGACCTGATGTGAAGAACTGCCTCATTGGAAAAGACCCTGATGTTGGGTAAGATTGAAGGCAGGAGGAGAAGGGGAAGACAGAAGATAAGATGGTTGGATGGCATCACCAACTCAGTGACCATGAGTTTGAGAAAGCTCCAGGACAGGGAAGCCTTGGCATGCTGCAGTCCATGGGGTCACAAGGAGTCAGACACGCCTGAGCAACTGAACTGAGCTGAACAGTAGGACAGTACTTTTATAAATTATACTTCTGGTGTCAAGTTTAATGTGAGGATTAACAGGATCTATGCCATTCTCTCAGAACATCCCACCCTCGCCCTCTCCCACAGAGTCCAAAAGTCTGTTCTGTACATCTGTGTCTCTTTTTCTGTTTTGCATATAGGGTTATCATTACCATCTTTTTAAATTCCATATATATGTGTTAGTATACTGTGTTGGTCTTTATCTTTCTGGCTTACTTCACTCTGCATAATGGGCTCCAGTTTCATCCATCTCATTAGAACTGATTCAAAAGGGTGAAACAGATCACCAGCCCAGGTTGGATGCATGAGACAAGTGCTCAGCGCTGGTGCACTGGGAAGACCAGAGAGATCAGATGGGGAGGGAGGCGGGAGGGCGGATCAGGATGGGGAGCACATGTAAATCCATGGCTGATTCATGTCAATGAATGGCAGAACCACTACAATATTGTAAAGTAATTAGCCTCCAACTAATAAAAATAAATTAAAAAAAAAAGGATCTATGCCTTCCCTAGATCCCAGTGTTACTTTTATATGCTTTTTCTAAAATGAGGTAGGGGCTTCTCTGTTGGTTCAGATGGAAAAGCATCTGCCTGCAATGTGGGAGACCTGGGTATGACTCCTGGGTTGGGAAGATCCCCTGGAGGAGGGCATGGCAACCCACTCCAGTATTATTCTTTTCTTTTTTTTATTTCCAGGTGGATTCTTTACTGACTGAGCCACCAGGGAAGCCTTATTTTTTTTTAAACTATAGTAACTACAACCTATATATATATACATATATATATATATATTTCCAAATTATAGAGGTACAGATAGATATAAAAAGATCCATAGATGGGTCCTAATTTTTAGTCATTCCATCATTATATCATGGTACATGATAAAATATTTAATCCTGTTAGTTACTTGTTTAATGTTACAATTATGTGACTCTTATAGTCAGACTTATTGAGATTTAAAACCTGAATTTGGCAATTATAGCTGGTCATACTTGCTTGTGCTATGATTTTCTCAAACTCGAAAATGAGGTTTAAAGTGAGAAAAATAGTATATTCAAAATCCCAGCAGGAGCCTAGCAAAAAAAAAAATGTTATCAATTATTTTATTACCTAAGAGTAAAAGTGTTTACCCTGTACACTTAAAAATCATTTTCTGATTATTTTTCTCAAATTTTTGATTGACAGGGTTGATTTGATTATGGAGGAAAAATGATCTGAGGTTAAAGTGAGGAAAGAATACAGTAGCATTCATCAGTGCCTAATGGGTATGCAGAAACCATGACTAAACTTGTTTGCAGCTTTCCATATAAAATAAATGAATAAGAAAATGAAAATCATAATAGCCTGATTATAAAAAAAACTGCTGTTGAAGTTTATTTGCACCCTTGATATACCTGAGGGGAAAATGTATTAGAAAATGATAAATTTGGGCTCTTTTTTTTGTTTGTTTTCCTGTAATAGATAGCCTCTGATGCTCTAACATTCTTGGGTTTTCCTCAAGCTATCACATTAAGTAGAATCTGTTTGTTCTGCCCCAATTATAACATTCCTAGAGTCCCACTTCAGAACTCCTGCGAACTGTTTCTAAAGGTGGTGAACCAGCGATCAGAGGACAACCACCTACAATTAAGCAGCACATCAGCAGAGAGCACAGTGAAAGCAACTTATTTTCTTACCATTTTATCTGCCATCTCACAGAGGGGGGTGCACTACTTATTGGTACTCGTTTCTCTTCATTGTAGAGGTAAAATGGAGCAAGGAGAATTATCTCAGATATAGTCCCTCAAAGAATTACACTCTCCAAAAGGCCTTGAGTACTCACTGTTTAGAGAATTTGAAATTAAATCTTTGGTGGAGCTGCATAAAATAGACCATGAGATTTCTTCTATTATTAGGATATAAAATGTCCATGGAGAATCAAATGAAAGAGGTTATACTCTTTATATTTTATATACTATATAGTAACCATTTTTCTCATTGATTCAAATTCTGTGGTGAGTTTTAATTGTGCAATTTAAATATATTTGTTTAAATAAAAATTGTAGAAACAAATTGAACAGTATTTGTGATTTTTTTTGGAGTGATTATTTATAGTTTACCATTACTTCTGATGTATAATTTTTCAAAAGAAAACATTGGGGAGAAACAGACCTGTTCATAATCAAATAGATGAACTTGTCAGTGATGGAGCCATGATTAGAAATGATATCCCCTGGATTTTGTCTGAGAACCTATTCCTGAACACTGTTTGGTTTTCATGTGTCCTTAATAATAAACCTACTTGTGGCTGTCACAGCACTTCCCAGTGTCATAAACAAAGGAATTCCAAAATAAATAAATAAATAAACAAACAAACAAATAAATAAATAAGGTAAGCTAATAGTGTTCTGGTAATGTTTAGGTTGAGATATTCTAAGCTAACTATTTCACTATATATATGTTATTTTTTCCTTCTTTTTGTGTCTAATTTGTTTCATTTCATTACTTAAAAGACACCCTGTGTGTAAATTATTGTTACTAGAGCAAATGACTGCTAATTATCAGAGCTTTATTAAACTTACTATACAAATGCCCAGTGAATGGCCTAATAAAAATACAAATCAAGATAATAGTATTCTCATTTCCTTAAATAATATAAGGTGATAATAAGCCAACAATAATATTTATCTGTAATAACTTACCTCAATTTCCATGACGATTTATCTGCACTCAAATTTGCCATTACTCCAAATGTTCATTTATACATTTAATTTCATAATATTCTTCTTATTTCCCTGTTAAGGTAGGAAGAAAATTGTACTCTATTATTTTTCTTTTTTTATTGAAGTATAGATGAGTTACAGCATTGTACATTTTCCTGTACTATATAGGAAAGTGCCTCAGTTATACACATATATACAATTTTTTAACTATTTTTTTTCCATTATAGTTTATCACAGGATAGAGAATATAGCTCTACACATTAGGACTTTGCTCTTTGTCCATTCTAAATGTAATAGTTCACATCTACTCCCAATACCGAACTCCCAGCCCATCCCTCTCCCTCTCCCCCTACCCTTGGCAACCACAATTCTGTTCTCTATGTCTATGAATCTATTTCTGTTTTGCGAATAAGTTCATTTGCATCATATTTTAGATTCCACATATAAGCAATATTGTGTAAAACTTGTCTTTCTCTTTCTGACTTATTTCACTCAGTATGACAATCTCTAGTCCATTCATGTTGCAATAAATGGCATTATTTCATTCTTTTTTATGGCTGAGCAGTATTCCATTGTATATTTGTACCACATCTACTTTATCCACTTATCTGTCAATGGAATTTAGATTGTCTCCATGTTTCAGCTCTTGTCAATAGTGCTGCTATGAAGATAGGTGTGCTTGTGTCTTTTTGAATTATAGTTATGTTTGTTTACCTCCCAGAAGTGGGATTGCTGTATCATATGGTAATTCTGTTTTCAGTTTTCTGGGAAATCTCCACACTGTTTTCCATAGTAGCTGTACCAGCTTCCATTCCCACCTGCAGTGTGGGGGGGGTCCCTTCTCTCCACACCCTCTCCTGCATTTGTTATTTGTGGATGCTTTAATGATGGCATTCTGACCTGTTTAATGTGGCTACTCACTGTAGTTTTCATTTGCATTTCTCAAATAAAACTGAAATATGAAACTCATAAATGGAAGAAAAGCAATGACCAGAAACTAATTCTGAATGGGTCGAGATAATAATTTAGTGAAGAAATTTCTTCAAAGAAAACATTACAATTGTGTTCAAGGAAGGAAAGAAAATTATTCCATTATTGAATTAATAAATAAAAAATTAACAGAAAACTTTAAGAAAGAACCACATGTAAATTCTAGAGACAAAAGTAATAGTAATGAAAATGTCACAAGTTAGAATCAAAAGGAAATCTGAGTTTGTGGGAGAAAGAAGTAGTAAACTTAATTATAGATCAGTTATCACTCTGAAGAACAAAGAAATAAAGGTGAAAAGAAAATGAACGGAACTTCACAAATCTGTTAGAATATATCAAGTGTTCCAAAGTTTGTGTGAAGTCATAGTTTCAAAAGTTGTGGTGGGGAGGTAGAAATAAAACTCAAAATAATAATGGCTAAAAATTCCCAGATTAGTTTAAAACATTGATTTACAGCCCCATGAACTCAATAAATTCAAAGTGAAATAAAAGCAGCGTACCATGTTGTCATACTCTAGATATAACATTCCCAAAAGGTGTTCATGTCTTAACCTCCAGAATCCATTAATAAGTTACTGTACACAGCAAAAGAGATTGCAGAAGTACTTGAATTAAGAATTTTGAAATATAAAGATTATCCTGCATTATCCATGATGGCCCTATACAATAAGAGGGAGGTTGATGGGTCAAAATAATGAGATTTATGGAGGGTGTAACATGGAAACTGACATTACCATATGCAAAATAGATACCAGTGGGAATTTGCAGTATGTCTCAGAGAATTCAAACAGGGGCTCTGTATCAACCTGCAGGGGTGGGGTGGGAGAGAAATGGGGACATATGCATGCCTATGGCTGCTGAGGTGTGACAGAAAGCAACAAGATTCTGTAAAGCAATTATCCTTCAATTAAAACATAACTAAATAAAAATGACATGAGAATGGAAGTAAAGCTTACTCCTTTGAAGGAAAGTAATGACCAGCCTAGATAGCACATTAAAAAGCAGAGACATTACTTTTCCAACAGAGGTCCGTCTAGTCAAGGCTGTGGTTTTTCCAGTGGTCATGTATGGACGTGAGAGTTGGACTGTGAAGAAAGCTGAGCGCCGAAAATTTGATGCTTTTGAACTGTGGTGTTGGAGAAGACTCTTGAGAGTCCCTTGGACTGAAAGGAGATCCAACCAATCCATCCTAAAGATCAGTCCTGGGTGTTCACTGGAAGGACTGATGCTGAAGCTGAAGCTCCAATACTTGGGGCACCTCATGCGAAGAGTTGACTCATTGGAAAAGACCCTGATGCTATGAGGGATTGGGGGCAGGAGGAGAAGGGGATGACAGAGGATGAGATGGCTGCATGGGATCACCGACTCGATGGACATGAGTTTGAGTAAACTCCAGGAGTTGGTGATGGATAGGGAGGCCTGGCGTGCTGCAATTCACGAGGTCATAAAGAGTCGGACACAACTGAGCGCCTGAATTGAACTGAACTGAATGATTTAGTGGTTTTCCGCACTTTCTTCAATTTAAGTCTGAAGTTTGCAATGAGGAATTCATGGTCTGATCCACAGTGAGCTCCCAGTCTTAATTTTGCTGCCTGTATAGAACTCGGTGTTCAGCTGCAAAGAGTATAATCAGTCTGATTTTGGTTTTGACCATCTGGTGATGTCCATGTGTAGAGTTATCTCTTGTATTGTTGGAAGAAGTTGTTTGCTATGACCAGTGTGTTCTCTTGGCAAAACTCTCTCAGCCTTTGTCCTGCTTCATTTTGTACTCCAAGACCAAACTTGCCTGTTACTCCAGGTATCTCTTTATTTCCTTCTGCATTTCAAGCCCGTATTGTAAACAGCTCATTTTTTTTTTTTTTTTTTTTTTGGTGCCAATCCTAGAACATCTTGTAGGTCTTCATAGAACCATTCAACTTCATCTGTTTCAGCATTAGTAGTTGGGGCATGAATTTGGATTTCTATGATATTGAATGGTTTGCCTTGGAAACAAACAGAGATGATTCTGTCACTTTTGAAATTGTACCCAAGTAATGCATTTCAGATTCTTTTGTTTACTATGAGGGCTACTCCATTGCTTCTAATGGATCCTTCCCCACATGTGTGACTTTTTGTGACTCTATAAACTGTAGCCCACCAGGCTCCTCTGTCCATGAGATTCTCCAGGCAAGAAATCTGGTGTGGGTAGTGATTCCGTTCTCCAGGGGCTCTTCCCAACCAAGGGATCAAACCCAGATCTCCTACACTGCAAACAAATTCTTTACCATCTGAGCTACCAGGGAAATCTGAGAAAATTGTTATATGATTCAGCAGTTCTATTACTGCCCATGTATCTGGAGAAAACACCAATTTGAAAAGATATATATACCCCAGTGCTTGTAGCAACACTATTTTCAGTAGCTAAAACACAGAATCAGTAAATGTTCCCTGACACCTGAATGGGTAAGGAAGAGTGGTGTGTGTATATGATGGGATTTTATAATATTCATCCATAAAAAGAAAGGAAATAGACATGGGGAGACCTAGAATCTGTCATAGAGTGAAGTAACTCAGAATATTATATATTAATCAATATATGTGGCATCTAGGAAAATGGTACAGATGATTCCATTTACAGGGCAGAAACAAAGACACAGACATAGAAAATGGACATGTGGATACAGTGGTGGGTGTAAGGGAGGGTGGGACAAATTGAGAGATTAGGATAGACACACAAACACACACATATATACTACCACATGTAAAACAGACAGCTAGTGGCAACATGATATAAAGCACAGGAAACTCATTTTGGTGCTCTGTAAGAGAAGTTGCATGGTAGGGGTGGGAAGGAGGTCTTACAAGGAGGGGATATATATATATATATACACACATATACCTGATTCACTTCCGTATACAGCAGAAACTAATGCAGCATGATAAATCAGCTATACTCCAATAAAAAAGAAAAGCAAAACAAAAAATAGCATGATTTCCTCTCAAAGATAACACATTAAAAAATAATAGTCACAAATGAATCCACACACTGTATTTTAAATATATTACTGAGGTAAACATGAATGCATGCATAGCTGCTCAGTCATGTCTGACTGCTACCCCATGGACTGTAGCCTACAAGCCTCCTCTATTCATGGGCTTTTCTAGGCAAGAACATTGGAGTGGGTTCCCATTTCCCTCTCCAGTTATCTCCTTTTAAAGTAACTTAAATCACAATGCTTTTCTTTTCTCTTCTTTTTTTGCCACGAGCATGTGCAATCTTAGTCCCAGACCAGGATGGAACCCATGCCCCCTTCATTGGAAATGTGGAGTCTTAACCAGTGGACCACCAGGAAAGTCCCCCAGAAGTTTGTTTTATGAGTG